AGCTGTATCATCCAGAACTGATGAAATCTTTGTATTTTCACGGACAAACAGGCCATATTTTAAAGTCTAATATTAACATCTTAGCTGCAAAAATCGGCAAATAAGATATTCGATAAAACGCACAAGGCTTGAAAGGAAAATATCAATATTTTTTCACGAAAAATAAAAATTATTAATAAAATATAAAACTTTCAAAAGCAAAATAGTTTTTCCATGAGAGGAAGAGTACAAAATGTACACTTTCATCTTATAATACCGTTATTTTTCATGCATAAAAATAATTTGGTTCAAGTTCAAGTGGCACTGCTTTATATCTCAGAGTAAGCTTAATAATAGACCCTGTTTTTATCGGTCTCACGTTTCGTCAGCAAAATGAATGAACGGGACTCGCCACGTGTGTCGCAACGTATGTAAAAATTAACTTCGCGGAATTGCACTTTCGTCTTTAAATAATTGAAAACACAGTTTACGCCGCGCTTTTTCGGGACGAGTTAGTCTATTATAGTGATTCATCGACGATGGTGGAGGAAACGCCGCTCGTAACCATACGTCGTCGGCTTCGTAGGATCGCAACATCTACGAAGAAAATCCAACCGGTTTATTTTTTCTCTTACCGATATAGGCGGTACTTCCTCTCACCATAGGCGCCTACGGAGCGCACACAGTCAAAAGTCTGTGCTAGAAGTATATACGGTGCTTTAACAGGCAGAATCTATTTCCGGGAAAAACTTTCAAACCAATCTTTTCTTCTTCCTGTTTTAATAAAAAGATTAATCTGTATGCATTTTATATATTTCTATATATACTACATGTATATTTGTATATTTATTACATATATAGAATTCATGTAAAGAATAATTTTAAGATTTAATTATTTGAAATCAAATTTATGAAAATCTCACGCTTGTTTAAGCAGCTAGCTATTTGAAATTAATAAAAAATACTCTATACTAAAAAAGGTCACAATAATTATTATAATATATTATAATATATGTTTATTTTTTAAGCGACTTATTCTATTAGGAATATATTGAATATTCATCAAAGTTTCAGAAATTTGTAAAAACTAATTAGTTAGGCTGTGTTATAATTATTTGGGACATAGCAATATTCAGAGAAACATGAGTTGCTGAAAATAATCATTTCCTGATATAACTGACTCTTTGATTTAACAAAATTTTAAATTATTATAGCTGTCAAGAAAAGTAATTAATATTTAAAGCGTAACGATTATAAATGATGAAATAATTCCTTTGTAACCGTAATTGCTCTCAAAAGGAAACTTAATATTAATATGTTTAAAATACAAACTAATAAGTACAAATTGATTAATATGAGTTTTCAACTTTCGTAGTCATAAATCGTTCCTTGCTTAGAACAACTCTCAGCCTGGAGCATGACTTTGTCTCAACACTCATAATATCAAAAATAGACAATATTCTTCTGGAGAATACGCAAATCGCCGTGATTAGATACGCGATATATTCTTGTCGGTGTACGTATATGCGTGCGGCGCGAAGATTTATGCATACTCGTAATCACGAGTACGCATACACGTACGCGCACGCGTGAACGATAAAATGGGCGCGCGTGTGCGTGCGGACGATTACCGGCGACCGTGCGCTTACGATAAACACACACTTTAACATATGGAGACTCGGTGGGAATAATTACGAGAGAAGGAGAAGAAGAAGTGTGCGGATATACGCGCGCGCGCGCGTGTGTGCGTGTGCTCTGCGCTCGTATACTGACAAATGAAACAAACAAATTCGCTCTGGCACGTATGCGCACGTGCTGGTGGAAATTTCCAGATACTCGTGAATCCCCCTGCGTGCGATCTCACGCTCGGAAAAACGTCGGATTTTTTCTGCATATGTCATCGAGCGCGTAACTGTAACTGATAATTAGTCGGATATGTCGTCTCTCTGACGAGACGGAATGGAAGAAAGTTGCGTGGTAGCAATTTATTGCAGTTTGTCTCAATGTTCGTCATTCATTGGCAATAAATCGCTTGCCAGCAAAGATAGCAAAATCTGAGCAAAAATGATAAACTTGCGAAAAACAGACAGATAATTTTAATAATACGCTAATAGTGTTCGTGACTGAGTCAATTATTTGTAAAATATTTTTCACGTAACAGCTTTCTTTTTAAATAACAGTTTATTTCACGTACATCTTTAAGAATCGAATGAGAAAATCCTTGCTTGCAGCTAATACGGAAGGCTTAGGAATCTAATCGTCATGGGGCAACAAACCTATTATAGAATCTAATAATACACAAAGTCGTTTTAAAAGTTTAATGGGATTAATAGTATTATGCTGGTGCTCGTTCGATTTTTCTGTGATATTTCACTATCCAAGTCCCGTTTTCATTGTTTTCTACATTAAAGTACAGCCAAAAGGAGCAATTACTATCGTCAAAGTCGCTGATCCCTGACGTAATAAAATCTCGATAATCACGCCTATCGATTATGCGATATAAAGAAGATTAAAAGTTCAATTGATCTACGACGATAACATCTTCGTGATAATATCTAGGCGTTCTGAATTGTTCAATATTACACGCGGTAAGAGATGATTATTGCTCATAAAAGAAAAAAAACGAGGTGTGGGAGATATTACGCTATTCCCTCGATGATTAATGATGCAATTAAGTGACGCAAAACTTGCGTTACTATGCAGATATATATTTTTAATAGACTTTTTTATATGAAAAACTCTTTAAAAAATTTATGAATCTTGGTGCTCTGACGTCGACTCGCCTCTCGTTGATTGGTTATTATTTATCGCTACGTCGTTTTTGTACGCGTCACGTCTCGCTCAAGTTATTTTTTAGTCGGGCTACATGTGATTATTGTACTCTCGTACTTTACGTGACTTATCGTATCATTAAGCTCGCAACATTGCGTAAATATTGAAAAAGATCATTAACATATGAGTACTCATGCTGCTGATGGTCATATAGTAATATTCTGAAATTTTCCACGCGATTGTTATTTTAACATTTATCTCTTTTCTATTTGATTCAAGATTTTATTTGAAAAATTCTAAACGTATATATATATATATGTATATTGAGGCAGACACTATAGTGCTCTTAAGATATATAATACATGTCGCATCGCGTTAATTCAAAGCACATTAGAAACCCGTATAAAGCTGGCGCCACATAACTTATGATAATACTGTTTTTCTCAAGAGGTGTCTCGTGCGATGAATCAGAGCGACCTATTCGAACATGACTTCTTGAAGCGTGTAGTTGTTCGACAATAATAGTAATTGCTGTCGCCAGAGAAGCTACATACGTGATTCCGGGAAATACGAGTAGGATGTACGAGGCGTTTCGCCGATGCCCTTTCGTGCCCATCAATCTTTGTGAAAGACCGTATCGAATTAGTCAACAGTATAATAAATGAATCGCTCCACTGTGAGATTCGTATTTCTTACATTAGACACGCATCTCTCGATGATTTATTCTTAATAGCGAAACATGTCATATCAGAATTGAACTAGCTCTTTGGTAAGAATCTTGTTACTTTTTAATCGTAAACTGTTTCCTTTATTTTTCCAAGATAATATATGGAAAATAGTATAGCTTGGGACATAGTACAATGTTCGTCATATTAAGTAGCAATTTATAAATGTTTTGACTCACAACAATGTTTTGGCTTAAAAATAAGAATATGAGCTCGTGCAAAGACTCGGTAAAGATTCTTGCAAAAGAATAATCAAATTTCTAACCAGAATAACAAAAATTTTTTACTTTGAGTGATTCGAAAGATTAGAAATGACTTCTTATATATCTGTTTGCTTTTCAGTTATCGTAATTTATCATTCTTTAAGAGATTTATCGTTTTTTAAATCTAAAATTAACAGTTATCAATTTATCTTTATTTTTGTTATTGAAGTAATTAAGGAAAATATTGTCTACACGACCGGAAGAAAAATCTAGGTTAAATAAAAACCTTTTTTTTTTTTTTTTTTTTTGGAACAAATTGTTGCAATCGCAGTTGAAGTGGCATCACTTCAGATACACTATACGGTTTTATCTGACTCTGTTTATTTTCTATTTTCTATTATCTATTGACTACGCCGGATGGGGAGAGATAAGGGCTTATAAATGAGATCTTATTGAGGTTTTTTGATATGCCTGTGCTATAAGTTTATTTTAGTACGTTGAACCGTGTTATCATTTTTGCCCGATAAAGATATTTATTCGTTATTTTAATTGTGATAATCTCGAGATTGTGTTGGCTATATTTTATATCATTAAATTTTATATAGAACATTGCATAAGACTGTAATTTAAATTAATCTTTAATTCGACAATAATTACTTTATATTTAAAAAAAATGTTTTATACAATCCATATGAATATTATTGATCATTGTAAAAAGTGATATTCGCGTATAGAACAATATCGAATATATTAACAAATTGCGCTACTTTATGAAATCAATAATGTATTCGATGTTATTCTATTATATTAAACAAACATCATCTTTGGTTTAATTTAATTGTACAATCACGACAGCACAAATATCGGTATGCATTGTATGAGAAATTGTTCAAAATTGAAGTGAAAGTCGAGTTAAAGCGCGTTGTACTTAAGTATAATTATAGAACTTTCAACACTTTCGAATCTTCTCAAAGTTTATCTGCTACTTGCATAAGCCATTGTCGCAACGTCTGCTTTCCGTTTTCTAGCAAACGACGCATTGTTTGACTCCCCATTGAAACGAATGATCGTGCCAGTGCAGCGGCGACAGCCTGCCGCCGGGTCTGTTCGACACGCTATCTCACTGGCACGATGACGTCGCGAAATTGTCAAGCCTCGGTTATCATCCGCGCCGCCATTTCAAGCATCAAATTACTCGCGCGGCATCTCTCCGTTTACCCTCCTGATAACGCGTCCATCATCGCGATGTGTCGGGCGTGAATAACTGCAATTTCGGAATTGTATGAGTTAACCGAACACGCTCCTTCCTGTCTGATTACAGAATGCGGGCTCGACTAAGGCGAAGGAGCCTCCGTCATCTCCAACGACGACGAGCACCACGAATGGTAGCACCGCCGGCGGCAACCACGTCGGCAACGGACACGCGCCTCTGAAACGCAGCTACACCTCCTTGATGACCACGTTAATCGAGCAACATCGAAAGCTGGACCGTAGCGTGAGCGAGCCGACGTCGCGCTACAAGACGGAGCTCTGCCGACCGTACGAAGAGAGTGGCTCGTGTAAGTACGGCGATAAGTGCCAGTTCGCGCATGGTTTTGGCGAGTTGCGCAACTTGGCGCGCCACCCGAAGTACAAGACCGAGCTGTGCCGTACCTTCCACACGATTGGCTTCTGCCCGTACGGCCCGCGCTGCCACTTCATCCACAATTTCGAGGAGGCGCGTATACACAATCAGAAGGTGAGCGCCCAGCTGGGCTCGACGCAGCCCAACCTAATGGGTTTGAATCCGCTGATGAGCGCGGCGGCCGCCGCTGCAGTAGCGTCCGCGGCCGGCAACGGCACCGCCGCGAACAACAGTGCCACTGCCAATAATGTCAGCGTCAACGTCAGCCTGCTCGAGCAACTCGCCGCGTCGTCCCACGTGGCCGTGGCCGCGGCGGCCGCTGCCACCACGTCGAACCTTATGCGAACGAATTCGTTGAGCCTCGGTAGTACCAACGCGAACGGCTTCAATCAGCCGCCGTTGCTGCGAACATCGTCGCTGAGCCTGGCCACGAATCATCATCACGCGGTACACCATCATCAGGTGAACGCTATGAACTCGGTAATCGGGGCGACGAAGCCGAAACCGCTCAATCTTAGCCCGACGTTCTCGCTCGGCAGTTCTGCCGACTCGGTCTCGCCGTCGTCTAGCCTCAGTCAGTCGCCGACGAACTCCATGGCGAGCTTCTTCAGCGACGACTGCAGCCAGCAAACGGTCTCATGCACGAATCTGCAGACGACACCGTTCAGTTTCGGTCAGGACTTCAGTCTGCTTGCCTGTTCGAGACAGAGCCCGAGCCCGCGCAACAATGGGGTATGCAGTCCACTCGCCTCCGACGAGGTATCACCCAGAACCCCCTCCCCGTTGTCACCTAACACGGAGTCCAGGTTGCCGGTCTTTAACAGGATCAGTAACGCCCTGGACAGTTTCGATAACCTCAAGATCTAGAGAGCGGTCGCCGCGCGAACCGTAAAGAAGAGAGACGCGAATTCTCGGCGAGTTTCGCGCTAGGAATAGAAAGGAAAAGGAGGATTTTCATGTGGATTGACTCGAGTTTTCGACGATAGCTTCTCCGCAGTGGATTCTGTCAGTGGAATTAACGTCTTTTTTCTTTTTTTTTTTTTACATATGCGGTATCGCCGTGACGCGGTAGCTCTTTACCCGCCATCGGCCGTTTTCTTGAGAAGCATTTTAGGCACACGTCAGGTTTCATTATCCTTGAACTAGCATCCTTTCCTCTCCTTTTTTATATATTATTATAACCATAATTTTCATATATATCATCGTACTATTGTAATATATTACTATATTACTACATATTATTATATTATCATATAATTATTGATACATATTTATCATCTTATATATTCTTTCTTTTTCTTCTTCTTTCTCATATTCTATCGTTAGATGCGAGTGACTTTTTAGCAGAAAAGTCAGCCCGGAAAGTCTCAGTCCGCTCATTTAGGCTCGAAAATGAAAATGGTTGGAGGACGATATTGAGAAAAGGGAGAGAGGGGTCTGTGGATGGGTCAGTAGGTGACAGAGGATACCAAGCGTAAATTTATTCCGAAACGTGACTTTCTTCCGAGCAAGTTGTTCATTGATCTCACTTGGTGGATCCTCATTACGCCTCCCGGTTCCCACGAGCCCGCTGTCCGCGTCCGCCGCCTCCTTCCGTTGAATTTTTCGAGCTATACGAGTATAGCGTCGCTAAATCCGGGGCAGGTAAAATGTTGCAATATCCAAATAACACATGTACGATTACGTTTTGTCGAGTTTCTTCTCCGGAGGAGGAAGGGTGGGGAAAGTTGTCTCGAGAGTGAAAGGAGAGGTGAGAATAAGCACTCCAGCGAGCGAGCGAAAGAACGAGAGAAAGAGCGAGTGGAAGGAGTGTATGACAGAGTGGATGAGTGAGTGAGTGAGTGATTGAATGAGAGAGAGAGATATATATATATATGTGTGAAGCCAATTAACGCGCACTGCAAACGGCGTCGTTTGCCGCAAAAAACGGTAAAATTACATTTCTGAATTGAGCATGATTTATCGCGACTGTCACTTTTATCGCTGTCGTTCTTATATAAGCGATGTCGCTTGGTCCCGAAATATGGAAATATTTAGCATATTGCGGATGAACGAGATCGATCGGCGGCGTGAATTCGTGACGATATGTTTCCAGCTCCGCTTGTTTTATGTTCGTGTAACGCGAGAATGCTTCAGTACGTTGTTGTATTATTGAACACATGCGCAACCTTGCTTAGAACAAAAGGTTTTGTTCGTGATGATTTTCATAAATGGACTGTAAAGTAGAGATTTGTAGGATAGTTTTAGGTTTTTCTTCTTTCTTTTATTTTATCAGTCGTGTGAGAAGCGACCAGGTAGCAAGGTGTATAGTTGGACTTTTTCTTTTTAGAAAACGCTCGAAAAATTTTCATTGCGACGCCGTTTCCAGTGCAACTGCGATTGTCCGATCGCGCAAGTGAGTGCCTTTTGTAAACTTCGATTGTCTTCCATATTACAATGAATAGGCTACACAGTATGAAAGGCAGGAGAGAATGATGATGATACTGAGAGAGAAAGAGAGTGTGAGTTGATAAGAATCAATAACGAAAGAAATGGACAATAATGCGAGAAAAGAGTGTGATTGAGTGCGTGTTGCGTTTTAAAATAAGTGTATGAAGAAATAAGTAGAAATATATTTTATATGTATATATTTTATAAAATATATACACATCTCTCGTGTATATATTTTATAAAATATATACACGAGAGATCATATCTACACACACGCATACACAAAGAGACACAAACACACACACACACACACACACCGAGAAAGAAGAGATACATTTCGTGTGACCGAATTGTTCGGAACGTTCATGTCGGTTCTCGACTGGCGTTCCTCTTCTTCTCGGATGGAAAAAAACACTTCTTTCTCGTCGCGAAGCTCGTTGACTTCTGCCTTTCATTTTTTTATATATACACATGTATATGTTACATATTTAACGATATATTGCACCCATAATCGCGACGAGGAGAGAGAGAGAGACTCACTTCGGCGCGAACGACAGAGCTATGGTGATGCCGATTTCGTATGTATTGCCCTTTCCCAACAAAAAATGTGATAACTGTAATACTATGTTAAAAATGTGGTAACTATTGCATATAGAAATATCTACTATAAAAAAATATGCTGTAATAATAAAAATGCAAAGAATAAAAATGTGAGAGAGAAGATGAACGAGATTGAATGATCAAATGGATGAATGAACGAATGAGAGAGAAAGAGAAAGAAAATAGCGTGAGAGGCGGAAGTCGGAACGCTCGTGCGGGCCGCGTGATTTCTCGAAGAGACATTTTTGACATTGTTTGTGACATTTTGTTCGAGACACAAACCCAAAATTGACGGAAAATTGTGGAAATCCGTCGTCCGGCGAATCTCGACGGGAAAACGCCGACCCCGCGTCGCTTCGATGTGAATTAGTTACAAAAAAAATACAAACGCCTATAAACTGACGTGGTTTTCGAAAATCGATATCATTCTGTATATAAACGCTAAACTCTTTCTTATGATTACAACAAGAAATGTTTTCGTTTAATTTATATTTGGATGCAACTTTGTTATTATAGATTACTTTATTATTATATTATTATTATTAATATAATTATTATTATTATTATTATTAATTATTAACTAATTATTATAATTATTGCTCTATCATTATATTATTATTATTCGCAAGTAATATCACTTCATAATCAGTGTCCCCCTGCAACGAACTATGAAAAGTAGATTCTGCCTCTTCATTTCTCCTCTTTTTTTCTTTTCTCCATACAAATAAACGCGAGTGCTTTTTATCCCGTCACAAAATGCATCAGTCGATCGTCATCGACACGTCGACACGCGAGCGCGGCGTTCTAATGTAAATGCTATTATTGTGTCACATTACTATATTATTATGATATATACCATTATTATTTTCATCGGTATATCTGTTCTATTTAAGTATATCTTATTCTATTTAGCAGCAATCATTCCTCCCTATCAGTCGACTCCCCATACTTCTCATTGCCGTCGTCGCGAAAACCAAAAAAGCCCCGTGCTATTTATAATCAATTGTATATAGTTTGTGCTATATATAGACTTTCAAAATTATTAGTGATACATACATGTTACGACGTAAACGATTCTTATTAACACTTCAACTGACAATGATGGAATTTAGTCGCAATTTTTGGTCTGATTTTCGAGCTGACATTTATCTTCCATTGCCGCTCGCGTTTTGTAATTAAGATATGCTCTGTCACAGAAACCGATTATACCGGGATTATGATGGATACCTTCCTAATTCTATTATACTGGGATCGTATTTTTCTGAGTGTTGCCAAAACTTTTATTGAAATTTTCTTCTTTTTTAAATAATTTCATTTGTTAAAGTCAAGTTTGTTAAAGAAAATATTAGAGGACACTTTATCAATACTCAAAGTAGCATGATTAATATGTATTTATCTCTAAAACACGAACGTCAAAAGAAGGATACTATGTGACGATGCGAAAGTCAGAACTAAATCTTACTGCTTATAAGAACGAAACAGATTGTCTAAATGAAGGTGTTATGAGTAACAATTGCATTTTACTTCGTTTAGAAATATCAAAATGCGAAAAACTACGGAAGTGTATAGATTCAATTTATTAAAATATTCATTTTTGGACATTCACCATACTCATGTTCTCAATATACATTTACAATTAGTATTGAACGATGACTCTTTAAGGCTAAAGATTCTCAACTTTTAACTAAATCCAAATAAGATGATATAACGTCCGAAAATCGACGATCACAAAATTCAAACTTCAGGAAATTCAAGTAATAAAATCGAAAAAAACAAAACAAAAAATACACAAAAACCAGAAAAGAAGAAAAGTTTAGCTTTGTAATAATTCTGAACTTAGATGCTTACATTTAGCACTAATTGCGAAGTGAGCAAGTTTCTTTACTCGAGGGAAAATGCAATTGAAACGCTGCTAAAATAACACCTCCAATCCTCGTTGTGCCAGTCGTGCAATTAGAAATCGGGGACGGAAATAGAGAGAGAGAAAGAGAGAGAGTGAGACGAGGACAGATTGAGACAGACGCGGAGAGTGAAAGTCTCTCCTTACGCAGAAAGACGAGTTGCAAGACGCTCAGGCCTCGTAAGAGGATCACAGAGACTGAGAAAAAGTGTGCGGTGTAACTTTTTGTCGGTTAGTCTTTTATAGAAAAATTTACGAATACACGACGTTGCCCGTCGCGAGGCCGAAACGTCGAGGGACGTACGCTTCGCGATCGGCAATCGTCATCGGGCACATGGAAGCGACGACGGCGTCCCGTTCGAAGCACAGTGGCTGGACGCATCAATTTGGAGTCCCGAAAATACGTCTTGAAATGCCACGTTCGAATTCTAATTGCCGAACGAAAACTTGCTGATCTTTTGAATCTTTTCACTTATCTTTGATGTTAGCTGGATCTGCAATCTTTTTTTTACAGAATTGAATGCATGCAAATGTTTCTTTTTTCTTTCTCGCAGAACCGAAAAACGGAAGTATTTCTGTTTTTTTTGTCACTGAAATAGGTATTACCGAGGATTTTCTTTTTTTTTTAATTTATTTTATTTTCAATATTTTCTTTTATATTTAAATTATTGCAAGTTATATATATTATTATTTGCCGAGTTCGATGTTTCTTGTTTTCATACGCTCTTTGCTTGTGGAATAAGATTCACTGTGTCACTTAACGCGCGGAAGATAGGACCAAATTTTTAGCTTATTTTTATTTCGAAAAAAGTCATCTTGCGGATTTCGTAAATTTTGATTTATTTTAGGTTTACAAAATATTTGATTTATCGAAATGTAATTTAGTTTCTTTTTTTTTAAATAGATTAATTATTAAACGCAACATATACTCATCTTCCGTGAATTTTTGTTAAGTGCGTCAATTTATTAACCCTTTGGTTGCTGTATATACATATTCGTTCAACTAGAATTAAAGAACTCCGTAATAAAAGCGAATACATATAATTTTAGGAATAAATAATCAGTACACGGTTTTTTTCGTTATGAATTTGTGAATGCGTTGTTTGATTTTAGCCACTACAGAAATAATAAATTTGCGCAGTATGTCGTACCGGTGCATTTCCATTTCGTTTATTGTACAAACTTTGAAAATGCCGTCTCATGTATCGCAACTAAAGGGTTAATTATGCTCGAGCTCGAGCGCATCGGATGGACTCCACATGTATCCAGCCAGCCTCGCGTTTATTCTCCTATAGACT